GTGAGCTGTGATTGGTCACAACTTGTCACATGGTACAAGGTTGTTGTGAATAGCCTTGTACCATGTGACCTCTGTGATCATTCACAGATTTTACACGTAGTAAGCAATGATGTCAGAAGTGACATCTTGCTTACTACTCTGCATGTGATCACTGATTGGCCAATCAGTGATCACATGATCGGGACCTCGCACAGAGGTCCCGTCTGATCGGTGTTCCACTGTGTCCGGAGGACACAGCGTGCACTGGATCGCGGTGCTGCGAGCTCCCAGGGAGAGCGCACAAGTAGGGTGCGGGGAGGCCATTTATAAACGGCCATCTGACCCTGCACTGCCACCGTCTGGCCATTTATATACAACGGCCGGATGGGAGGTGGTTAATGCTATACTGGTACAGAGGGGAGCTGGAATTTAGAAGTAAAAAAAAAAAAAACGTGAACGAAGGTGAACTTATCCTTTAACGGTGAGAAAAGTTGTGATGCCCCGCGGTTGAATTGCTAAAATAAAATGTTGTTATGCTTTATACAAGAGCTCTTCAAAAAATTTCCAGACTTTTTATTTTAACTCTACAAGTCCTCATGCACACTGGACGTTTTTACAGCGGCTGTTTTTGGTTTTGACATTTTTTTTCTACAGCTAGTAAACCCTTCAGCATGTTATCCTATGTGTCCATTCACACATACACTGTAATCAGCGTTTTTTGGCTGGAAAAACCCCCCAGAACTAGTGGGTTTCTAGAGGAGTTTTTTAGCTGTAAAAACACTGCAAAACGTGGTAAAATGCCACAAACTCGTGTTTTTGGACTTTTTTTGACCCAAAAAAGGGGGAAAAACGCTAAATAAAAGCAAGCGCGGAAAACACGGTAAAACGCCGCTAAACGCTAATGCAAAAAATGCTAAAAAAAGGCATAAAAACTCACGTTTTTAATGTGACTTTATACCGGTAACGTTACCTGCATTATCAAAATGTCCTGTGTGCATGAGGGCAAAAAATAAAAAGTGTGGAAATTTTTTGAAGACCTCTTGCAAATGGGCCCACTAGGGTCCCTGTATGTCAGTGTTTCTCAACTCCAGTCCTCATGGACCCCCAACAGGTCATGTTTTCAGGATTTCCCTCAGATGAAACAGCTGTGGTAATAACTAAGGCAGTGAAACTGATCAAATCACCTGTGCAAAATAATGGAAATCCTGAAAACATGACCTGTTGGGGGTCCATGAGGACTGGAGTTGAGAAACACTGCTGTATGTAGACCTATATAAGCAGCATGAACTGTAGAGATATGGATGGGATGGATGGATGGTCTTGACATTTCTGCCATCTAGTGTCTATTATTGGTATTGTAATTCATTTCAAGTTCTGTGTGTAGGGTAATTTTTAATGGTAACTTGTAAAGGTGCCAAAAGAATTCAGATAACAGTCTTCTGTTTTGGCTTTTGCTGTGGCTAAGCACTTGCCCTCCTGAGGATTTACCCCCCTTCCTGACCAGGCCATTTTTTTGCGTTACGGAGCTGTGTTACTTTAACTGACAATTGCGCGGTCATGCAACGCTGCACCCAAATGAAATGTATGCCCTTTTATCCCATGAATTGAGCTTTCTTTCGGTGGTATTTGATCGTCTGTGCATTTTTTATTTTTTTGCGCTATAAAAAAAGACTGACAATTTTGAGAAAAAAAACTATATTTTTGACGTTTTGCTATTAAACATGTCCTGTAAAAATCACATTTCATCATACATTTAGGCCTAAAAGTATTCTGCTCCATGTCTAAAAAAAAAAAAAATCAACAATGTAAATTAATTGGTTGACATGAAAGTTAGAGTGTTTACAAATGGCGGTATAGATAATGGAATTTTTTTCTACTAGTAATGGCAGCAATCAGTGACTTATAGCGGGACTGCGGTGGACATTCTGACACTGGGGGGAACTGACTTGGTGTCACTGACATCCCCAGTGACACCAATACAGTGATCAGTGCTAATAAAAAGCTCTAACACTGTACTAATAACACTGGGCAGGAAGGGGTTAACATGAGGGGCGATCAAAGGGTTAACTGTGCTGGAAGTGTTTTACTAGGGGGCGGTGTGTGTGCTTCACTGTAATCACACTGCTCTGGATGGCTGTGATGTGCACAGCCATCCAGAGCAGTGTGCACGAGCTGACAGGGAGAACTGTTTAGTAAACAAAACAGTTCTCCTCCTCGTCAGAGATCATCGGAAATCACCGGGCGCCGTCGAGTAATTATCGGCTGGGCCCCGGTGATTGAATAAGCAGCCCCCTACCCGGAGATGCAAAATCACGTATAAATACGTGATTTTGCGCACCCGTTCCGCCCTGTAGCAGTATTTCCGATATGCAGGCCAGTCAAGTTCCTCCACCCCAAACTTGTTCCTCCACCCCAAACTCGTTCATCCCATGTCTCTATGGACTTTGCTTTGTGCACTGGTGCGCAGTCATGTTGGAAAAGGAAGAGGCCATCCGCAGACTGTTCCCACAAAGTTGGGAGCATGAAATTGTCCAAAATGTCTTGGTATGCTGATGCCTTAAGAGTTCCCTTCACTGGAACTAGGGGGCCAAACCCAACCCCTGAAAACCAATCCCACACCATAATCCCCCCTCTACCAAGCTTTACACTTGGCACTCGCCAAACCCAGACCCCCCCCCCCCTCGCTCATTCCCGACCCTTTCTTTCCTGACCTGCCAGGCTGCATGCTCGGATAAGTGTCTGGTATGCATTTTGGGGGGGACCCCCACGCCATTGCGTGGAAGTTCCGCTCAAAATCCATACCAGATCTGATGGGCTTGGTATGAATGGAAGGGGGGACCCCACGTCGTTTTTAAAAAACATTTTTAATTTTCAGGCAATGACGACAATTCATTTTACATTCAGCTGTCAGCGGGGAACCCCACTGACAGCTGAAACAATGATAAATGTTTCACTACTAAAATACCACATGACTTCATAATATAAACTCATGCAGTATTTTAGTAACCAAGTGGTATCTTACCAAATATTCAGATGCGGTAAAATACCGCTCAGTAAATTTATTTGTGTTTGAAGTTTGCGGTTGAACATTATTAATATTATTATACAGGACTTATATAGCGCCAACAGTTTGCGCAGAGCTTTACAAAATGAAGGTAGACTTTACAGTTACAATACAAGAGGAAACATTCTGTAGGTGCGAAGGCTCGACCACGAACCGAATAGGGGGGGTGTTCAGCCCATCACTACTATTGACCCTTGTTTCCTGTTCTATTTTAGAGTAATAAGACTTTCCTGTACTGTATATTGAATATGTTACAAGTAGGTTAGAATGAACAATAAGACTTCAATTAACAACAATAACATAGAAGACCATATAGAACATAATTCTTTTTTTTTATTATTGGATGGAGATATTTACAAAAGTTATTGTGCTTCAAAAGTGTTTTGCACTAATAAGCAAAGTGAATATTTGACTATGATGATTAAAAGCTAGCACTAAGAAAAAAACTTAAAAAAGGTAAATTTTCAATGGAGTGTAATAACGGCAGGCTGTATGCAGGCTATACTTTGTAGCTCGTTATATTCCTCTAGCTAACCCCTACTTCACCTTTCCACACAGTTCCCACATGTCTGGGGAAGACAAGTTATTTAAAGAAAGGGCACCCATGAGGTTACCTAGGTATTGCTACCTTTCTTAATGTAACAATGGTGATGTAGGTGATATGGTTCCCACAGGCATCTTCTATACCAAAGAGGATCTCCACGTTCTCTTTGGCTTGTGGTGTAGTGTAGCAAAAATGTGAATCAAAGCGCCACACCACTGCTGAAAGTTCTAAAAACAACTTTATTCCAGTAAGGGACAATCAAAATCGTTTCCAACAAGTTTCAGAGGTCCAAAAACACTCTCTTATCATGGTTTGAAATAGAAAACAATGCGGTAGGGAAAGACATCAACTGGAAAGAGGTTTCCAGTGTGATTATCTGCACAGGTCTTGTCCGCAGCTGGTTTGACATTTTGCTGTTAAAGAAGTGGGGGATGACCAGAACAGTGAAGGAGAGAAGATCCGAGAAGGAACCTTGGTGTACCGGATCTCCTTGGTGAGGCTTTTACACTCAGCCTACCCCTATCACTCCAGAATCACAACCAGATATAAATTTTTTTTCTTCAGCCTTAACTCTTAAACTGGATGACCTATTCTGACGGATGTTAATAGTCTCATGTAGATGGATAATATGGAGTAATTTAAGGGCCAAAATACTTACCACTCCAGTCTCAATTCAGTGCAAAACTGGTCACTTAGTTTTGTAATCTCTGTTGATGAAGTGGAAGCCACTGCCTTGCTCTAGATGAGGGGTCTCCAAACTATGGCCCTCCAGGTATTGAGGAAAAGCAAGTCCCATGAGGCCTTGCAAGACTCTGACAGCCACAGGCAAGGCTCCCAGAGGCAGAAGCCTGATGGGACTTGTAGTACTTCAACAGCTGGAGGGCCATAGTTTGGAGACCCCTGCTCTAGATTAACATCAACCTTTAGTAGAAACCAGGCGACCAGTGCTTCTGCATTGATTATGTGACCAGCTGGCTTCCAAAGTTCAAGAAGCTTGCAGAAAGCTAAGTGTTTCAGAGCTCGCTATATTTTTTAACCATCACAGTAATGTATTCAGGAAACTATAGGTCCATCTTAAGGGTAAGCCCTCCCAAAACATTTATATCAGTTATGACTGGATGCTCGTAATTTACCTATTGGCTTCCTATGTTCTCCTCCCTCTAATGCTATTATGGATTCTAACTCCTCCTGATGCTCTGGATAATATAAAGTGATGCAAAGATCCAACAATGTGAGTAAGTGCTCCTCTCGAGAGAAGCCTAAGTAGAGTGAATGCCAGACTCCCCAAGAGCATTAAAAAGGTGGTGGCCAATATACAAAGCTGAAATACCAGTCTTGGCAGAAATATCAGTAAGGTGTCACACAATTGACTTAGTCTTATTTGTTCTTCTCTGCCCACAAGGCATGGAAAGTTTACTTCAGGTATATAAGTTCATCTTTTACAATTTCTTCTATCCATTCCAACCCGGGGAAAATGGAAGCGTGGAAATCCCGTGATTCTGGATCGACTGGTTCATCCCTTTTATAACCTTTACAGCCTACCACTGTTCCCCAGCTTATTACTCCAACCTGTAGAGGCAAAAAAGAGGGAAAGATTACAAAAAGTTATTGTAAAATACCTTGAATTACACATCATGCTGTTCTCTCTCCTGTATTAGGTGATCATTTTATTAAAAATGAATGCTAGAATGTTCTTGGAGGCAAAATGCTGTGTGCTTTATTTTCACAGCTACTACAATTGCACAAATCAACAAAAACAAAAAATAGTAATGATTTTGAGTTTCCTAAACTACTACTGTGGAGTAAGTCTTCTGACTCAAACCCCCTATACACCAACTGTTCGTGTGGTAAATTAGCCACAGGGTGGCCAGGAGAGGTGAACAGCATAAGGAAATATAGGCAAATTTTGATTGCTTGGTGCTGCCCTCCTAGGTACTGAACCGTAAATGCAATTCCAATAAATACAACCCTTTCCATTGTGAAATATGTTGATGAATATTCCTAGTTTCCAGGAACTGGCTTCAAAATTGTAAGTAAAAATTGTAATTTTGCTAAGTCCCAATGGCCAATACTGTCCACCTGCTCGGCCATGAGCCTCTGTACTGTATATACTGTTGTAGCACCCCCCTAGATAAGTGCTAGGACAGTGGTTCTCAACCTGTGGGTCGCGACCCCTAGGGGGACCCCAGGGGTCGCCTAAGACCATCAGAAAACACATATTTCCGACGTGTAAAGAGCAGCTACTGCGTTGAATGCAGCTACTGTGTAGAAAGCAGCTACTGTGTTGAATGCAGCAGTATTGGAGGTAAAACAACACTTCATGAAATATAATTACTAGGTAAAGAATTTTATGGTTGGGGGTCACCACAACATGAGGAACTGTATTAAAGGGTCGCGGCATTAGGAAGGTTGAGAACCTATGTGCTAGGATGAGTTAGATATAGTGTTACTGTGTTCAGTGGAGGTGCGTACGTGTTCTATTAGGGAAATTTAGCTTGCCTCACTGTAACCAGTGTGGCTGTAATTATTGTGTTAGGTAAATTTAGATGTGCTCACTGTAACCAGTGCAGCTGCTTCTGATTAATTAGGGCGGTTTACTGTTTTCAGCTGCTGCTAGTCTGACTGCTCCCTATGCCTTCCAGAGAGCAGAATTATCTGGAATATAGGTGTGGAGCTATGCAGATGGCAGTAGTATGAATATTTATGCAGCCCTAGCCAATCCCAGGGCCCTGAAGGCTGCTGGGAGTCTACATACATACTCTGAGACACTGGGCTTCTGGGTCTTTTCCTGCAGAGGATTAGTTCAGCCAGGAGGGCTATTACCCTCCAGGGCAACAATGCCATGTGCTTCCTGTTCGCAAGGCTGCAGGTGGGCGAACTGAGGGCCTGGATGCTGAAGCTACAGAGAGCTGACTGGGGCTGTCTGCTGAAGATCTAGTCTGATATCACTGGAGAAAGGTGTCACTTGGAAGGTGGAAGGAGGCAACCAACTATCCCTGGACATTTTGTGAGTACAGACTATTGTGAGAAATCTTAGAGACTTTTGGGTTGCTGCCACCCCTCTCTTGTGCTAGAGAGTCAGCCATGTGTTTGTCCTGAAGAGCTCAGTCTATCTGATTCTAGTGAAGGGACTCTGCTCTTGTTGCTCTAAAGAAAAATGTCTGCATTTAACTGTTTCCACTACAAAGCCAAGCCCACAGTTAGCTATAAGCAAGAACCTCTGCTTCAGCTTTTCAGAAAATGGTTCAATTGTCCTTAATCTGTACATAGTTCTGATTTTGGAGTATCCCACTCAGTTCCCTCAACCCTATTCCAGTCACTTCAAAAATAAAAAAAAAAACAAAAAACACCCCGAGACTGGTTATTGAGAAGAGTGACTGCGAATGTGTTCCTGGCTGTGGGGCAATCCACTGGGAAAGAACCTGGGCAAAATTACAGCATCTCCTACGGGAGTAAATGCTACACTGGTGAGTGGGTTGTCCCTTTGATAGCTTGATATTACCAGGGATTATGCTGAAGAATATAAATTGGCTCCTGCTTCTACAAAGGCAGCAATGGGTCTCCTGCCTGCACATGGACACTATTTGAAGTAACCTTTGCAGGCTAGGACAAGGGCTAAGGTTGGGATTGTCATTCGGAAACTATTCCTAGATTGTAAGCTCTAACGAGCAGGACCCTCTGTTTCCTCTTGTACCAAATTGTATTGTAACTATAATGTCTACCTTCATTTTGTAAAGCGCTGCGCAAACTGTTGGCACTATATAAATCCTGTATAATAATAATAACCAGCTTCTACTAAGTTTTGTTTTTTTGTTTTTTTTTTATAAGTAGATAGGTCTCTAATAAACGAAGAAGGAAAAGGTTTTCTGATATTCTTAAAAATAAAGGAAATGAGGAAAAGGGAAGAGAAGAGAAATAAGGAGGGGTGTGAGATGTAAAGGAGAAAAAAAGAAAAAGCACATTACAGGAGAAAGAAAAATGGAAATTAAAGGAAAAATGAAAACAACAGGAGGGGGAAAGAAAAGGATAGGAGAAGAGAAAGGAAAATGGAAAGAAAAATAGTAAAGAGAAAAAAGGCAATAAAGAAATGTTCTCTGACAGTGCTCCTTCAAAGCAGAGGGAAGGGCAAGAAAAAGGGAAATGAAAGAGAAAAGAAAAAGAGAAAGGTAAATGATGGAGCTTGCACTACTTTGTAATGAGAACAGTTAAAGGTGGATCATGAGGAAAGAAAAGTTCCATAAAAAAAAATACCAAAACACATGGGAAATGCATAAGGTTACTGGAAAGTAAGCCAAGGTTATGCAAAACATTTTGCAAAGCTATGCTGGTAATCCACTACTCAAAAATAAAAGATGGATTTATTTTACCTGGATATAACGTTTGTTATATTGTATAATAAGAGGTCCACCAGAATCTCCTGCAAGAGATCAAGATAAGAATAAATAAACCAATGAACTGTTGCTAAGTAAGCAGAATGTATTACTACTATATTGCCTGAAATGGGTACATTGCCTGCCATAGCTAATAGTTAATGCAAGAGTCAATTTGCTTTTGTATCACTAAATTTTGGATGGACTGAAAGCAATGAATCAGAATAAATAATTATGCTACAAGATGAATTGTAATGAGTTACTGTACTTGGCATACTTTATCGAATAAGGTAAATAGTGTATGACAGATACCTTATGTAGCACTACCCTCTTGGGGATTGCTGTTGAATTTGGGTCCCCCTATAGTCCTGCACAGTCAGTCAATCAGCATTTTTCAAATATGCGTACATCCATAGTCAGAAATCAGGCCTTGAGCATTGGTTTTGTTTTTTTAAACTTGGATGGGGTAAGGGGTGTATAGGATGCCCAAGGAAACTGAAATCTTGAGGACGAACTCCCTGAATTATTCACAGCTTCTCCTTTAAGACACACAATCTCTGTTGGAGTGCTAGCCAGCAACTGCAGGTGTAGTCCCCCAGACCCCAGGTGAACTCCTCTTCACCCAACAGTCTGGTAACTTTCCTTTCCCGAGCAGGGGATCTGGCTCCTTATGTTTCAGCTAAGGTGCTCAGTCAGTAGAAGGAGGCTAATTTGGTTTCCCACCAGAGTGGTCCTTCCCCTATCCTCTCAGGAGGTGTAGGTGTACTCACTCCGATCCTCTCCTGTACAGTTTGTGGAATGGCTGCTGCTTTCAGGCCTATCAGCTGGGTTGCTCCTTCCATGTCACACAGGTGGTCCTCTCTCAGGGGACCATAAATCCTGAGCTTTCTTCCTCTCTGATTACAGGCTCATAGGCAGGCCCTATCCCAGCAGACCTCCTGGTAGCCTTCTTCCAGCCTCACATCTTCCCGACTCACACTCCTCTCCTCCACTCCAACTCTCTGCTACTGAGCAGACTCTAACACTTTTTGAGGAGTCCAGTCCATGGCCAAGTCCCCTGTTGGGGATTGGCTGAGATCCCTAAAAAGGTTCAGCCTACCACTCCTAAGATCCTCCCACTGCCTCCAAGACCCTCCTACGAAAGCCTCAGAGCAGGGGGAAATTCCGGAGGGGCTGGCCTGCAGAGTCTCAGTCCTGACCAGAATGTGACCCCTCTGACTATCTCACCTGAGCTGCTAATCGGCTCCTCTCTAACCATCAGAGATCTTGCTCCACCTAGTGTAACTAGGAGGGTGCTACATCTAAATAGGTGGAGATCTACATGAACAACATGGAAGAAGTCAAAGATCACTGGGCACAGTGTCGCCTCCTCACGCCTGATTTAAATGGTTAATTACTGTGGCGCAATTGCGCACATGGGTTTAAATCAAGTGGAGAGGAGGCAACAAATCACCTCCTCACCACCTGTCAAAAACACTTGGATCTTTTCAGAGGAGCAGCAGTGCCTGCTGCATGTGTGAATAAGCCCCTATTTGCATTAGGGCTTGTTCACATGTACAGTTGGGGTGGTGGTAAAATTCTGCGGATGATTTGCAGTTTTATCACCCTCACCCCTTTGGCTGCCTAGGCAGTAGCCAAAGGTGTACACATGCTTCAGCAGGAATTAGACCCTCTGTTGCTATTGGTGGGTCCTACCGCCTGCCAATTGTGAAACATTGAAGTAAATGGGGCCATTCTGCAAGCACCCCACAACTGTATTCAGAAGCGGGGTCCAAGGGGTTAAAGCAGGTGGTGAGAAAGCAACGCTGCCTGCTTTAACCCCTTCTTTGTTTACTGCACAAACTTGCAGAGCAGCCTCATTCACTTGAATGGGTCATGCTTAGCAGATGCTACACCCACTAACCATGACAGAGCGTGTAACTCTTGCTGTGACATGTGTACACACCTGGCCACTGCAGCTAAAGGGGGTGCGGTTGGGGCGGGGGTGGTAAAAACACATTTTAACTAAGGGGTTCTATCACTTCCCCAAATTGCAAATGTAAGTGAACCCTTATTGTTCTGAGCTCTCTAGAAGGCTGCTTTCACTCTGATGTGCTACCACTTACCTGCACCATGGGTGCAGCGCAGTGGATCTGTGACTTTCCTGGTTAGCTGCGCTTTGCCTATTATATCTTGCAGGTGTGGTGTACTTTCTGAAAGCGCACCAAACCTGCAGGGTATAATAGAAGTCTATGGCAAAGCACAGCAAAGCTGCAGGTACAATGCACTGCACCCGCGGTGTGGGTAAACCGCAGCCCATCAGTGTGAAAGCAGTCCTATACTATTATGCCCAGTGTATTGCTTCACACTACTCTGAAGATCTCTCCTTTCCTGCTGCTGGCCCCACTCTAGAGACCGCTAACCGGGATAAGAGGTGGAGTGCACTTCGTATCTCTCTGCATGGGAGCCAGCCCTACAGAGGAGGCATCGGCTTATTCAGCTCTTGCTGTCTACTACAGCTCCAACTTTGCAAGTAGTCCCACTGCATTGCACTCCATTTGATATATATGTATATGAGTTATCCTGACACCCAGGGGCGGACTGATAACTCATGGGCCCTCGGGCAATAGGGGATCATGGGGCCCGTGTCCTTGCCCAAACTCTAAAAAGCCTATGAAAAAGGTACCAGGGGCATCTCATGGGGCCCCCTACTGACCCCGGGCCCTCGGGCAGTGCCCGAGTTTTCAAATGGTCAGTCTGCCCCTGCTGACACCTTATATACACATCCTTGTTCTAGGTCAATGACGTAACACATAGAGGGGTAAGGACTAAGGATCAGAATAAAAGCTCTGATCATTGCATTTTTAAAACCAAGTCAGCAATGGCAGCTCCATTGTACTCTCCTGATAGACTCTTAGGTAGATATGCAAGCACAAAAAAAAAATTTGGCTTAGCAGTGTTATCGCTTACCTTTGCAGGTCTGGGGATCCACTACAGGGTCTATTCCTCCAGTACACAGGAAATTGTCAGTTACAACATCTTTGATATTTGCCACATCTTTAAAGTCCTTCACCTTCTCTGCATCTTTGAGGCAACCATGTCTCTGTAAAGGAGAAATTATTATTATTATTATACAGGATTTATATAGCGCCAACAGTTTGCACAGTGCTTTACAATATAAAGGAGACAGTACAATTACAATACATTTCAGTACAGAAGGAATAGGAGGGCCCGGCTCGTGGAGCTTACAATCTAAAGGAAGGGGGAGGTGCTACAAAAGGTGATAGCTGCAGGGGATGATCTGGTGGAGGTGATTCAAGTACAGTTCTTTGGTGGAGGTGGGGTAGGCTTCCCTGAAGAAGTGAGTTTTCAAAGATCGCCTAAAGGCAGACAGGGTGGGGGCTGACCGGACATGCTGTGATAGGGAGTTCCAGAGGATGGGAGAGGCTCTGGAAAAGTCCTGGAGGCGAGCGTGGGAGGAGGTGGTGAGGGAGCTAGAGAGGAGGATATCATGGGAGGAGCGGAGTGGGTGATTTGGGCAGTATCTGTGGATGAGGTTGGTGATGTAGCTAGCGGCAGTGTTGTAGATGGCTTTGTAAGCTGTGGTTAGTATCTTGAATTTTATACGTTGGGTTAGTGGAAGCCAGTGGAGGGATTGGCAGAGAGGGGCAGCAGTCGTTGATCGGTTGGTAAGGTGTATGAATCTAGCAGCAGCATTCATATTAGACTGAAGGGGGGATAGCCTGTGTAACGGTAGACCAGTGAGGAGGGAGTTGCAGTAATCGAGGCGGGATATAACCAAGGCGTGGATAAGTTGTTTTGTGGTGTCATTGGTCAGGAAGGGGCAGATTTTGGAAATGTTCCGGGAGGTTGAGGCGGCAGGATTTAGCCAGTGAGTGGATGTGGGGCCCAAAGGAGAGGTCAGAGTCTGGGATTACGCCTAGCACCCTGGCATGAGGGGAAGGACCAGTGGTTGTGCTGTTGATCTTAATGGTAAAGTCGTGAGTGGGGGATCGGGGAGGAAGAAATATTACAAGCTCAGTTTTTGAAAGATTGAGTTTAAGGTAGTGATGTGACATCCATGCTGATATGTCGCTAAAGAAATAATTCGATTAGGACAGAATGAAATGAAATCAGACAGAGGAGATGCTGACTGTCGTTGTGAATACTAGAGATGAGCTGCCAGGTCAGAATTAATTTTGGTTGTTCAGAACTTCAGCAGTCAGCGAAACGAAATAGTTTGTTGGCAGAACTGAACCTCAGCTGCACAGGAAAGTAAGGGCCTGCAGGGGGACTTATGGGAGTCTAGAAGTTTCCTTTAAAAATAAATAATTTGAATAATAACAGCCCACATGGGGGAGGGGGGTGATATCTGGGGCCCCTTATTTTTAAAGGGGGATTCTAGATTCCAATAACCCCACAACCACTGGGTCAAGGTTTTCGGGAAGAGGCATTTGTCCTCTTCCTTTTCTGGCCTCCTAGGCTGCAAGGTGGTTTGGATTTTGGGGAGGAAACCCATGCTTTTGTGTTTCTTGGGGTTGTTTTTTTCAAATTCTTTATTTTAGATTTTATGTGTATAGAAAACAAAACATATACAGTATATCCGAACATATACCTTGTAAAGTGAGACAGTTAAGTAATCAAGAAAAAATACATCAACACCAAACAAGTTCAAGAAGGTATATAATCCATTTATTAAAAAAAGGGGGGGGGGTTTAGAATTCTGGGGGTAGGTGTACCCTTAAACTGTTCGGGGAACCACCTAGAGATTCAGGTAATAGAGGACTGTAGAAGGCCCCACAGAGGGCTAGGACTACATTTCCAAAGAGCCCTAGGTCCAGCATCACAAGTATACTACAGTGAAGAAGGAGAGGAGGAGAAGGCGTAATCTGTCCAATAAACCTTTCCTTTGTGGAATTGTTCCATCTTACCATTGGCAAAGCAAATATTTCTTCCATCCTGCACATTTCGGGAATTTTGCATAAGCATACGCACACTGGGTGAGTTAGTCTGCTGCCAGTACAAAGGAACACATGCCCTCGCCTCATTCCATAGATGTTTTGTAAGCGACTGTTTAAATCTCTTGGAAGACATTGGGGCCAGATGGAGCAGGGATGTCACTGGATCCTCTCCTAGTTTTACACCAGTAGGTTTGTACACCAGATCCCTCACCTTAGCCCACAAAGGATGCATAACTGGGCAACTACAAAATATGTGAAGGTATGTGCTTTCCTGAGTGTGACATCACCAGCACAGGGGAGATATTTGAGGGAACATTTTATGAAGAGACACTGTGACCTTGTGCCAGTGCGTTAGAATTTTGAATCCAGTCTCTTGAATAGAACTGGAAATAGAGGCAGAATAGGGAAATTGTAAAATTTGATCTTTCTGTTGGTTTGAGAATGTGATACCCAGTTCAGTTTCCCACTTAGTAATATAGGGCAGTACATCCAACACTGGGGATGATGAAAGAAGTTTGTAAGATGTCAACAAGCCATGTCTGATCAGAGACTTAGTGGTACAGGGCTTCTCAAAAACAGTTAAGGGAGGGAGTGGATGATAAATTTTCCCCATGCTGGATAAGAAATACCTGAGTTGTAGGGCTTTCCTGAAGGGTAAAGAGAGGTCGACCATGACCTAAATCTCTGTTAAGGATTTGAATCCAGATGAAGAGAAGAAAGCGTTAAGGCAAAACTGGCCATTATGTAGAAAAGTCTAAAAGGACTGATCGCAAAGTGCAAATCAGAGGATTCATGTGAGATGGTATGTGGGCTGAGAGAATGTCCACTCATTCGGCCAGTAGGAGCTGGGCAGTGTAATCTACTAGAGGAAGAAATTTGACCATTGATGGAAAAGTTTCCAGAGCCAAGGGATTCCACTTAAAGGAATGGATAGATAACTTTGTTAGTCCTGAAAGTTAGTATTTGCATGTGCTTAGAAAATAATGCTCAAGCATGGTGATAGGTCATTGCATTGTGTGAAGGAGAAGGGTTGCACCTCCTCTCTCTAGATCTAAGAAGGCTGAAAATGTTCATGTAATCCAGTGGTGGCATGAGATGCTGACTGAGTAAAGCTCACAGCACATGTACACACATTGTATAATATTCTTGAATCTACCAATGAGTATGCAGGGCTAGTGATAGGCTTAACACCCCTGTGTTCGGTTCGTGGTTGAGCATTCAAACCTAATGAAAGTCCGACTGTGAACTTCAAACTCAAAGCAAGTCTATGGGACTCAAACTTGTAAATTTAAAAGTGCCCATTTTGAAGGCTTATACACAAGTTATTGACCATAAAGGGGATACGGGGACTCGGGTACTGCCCTGAGGAACATGAATTAGTGAAAAGAAAAAATTCAAAAAGTACCATTTTTAAAGAGCAGTCATTTTTCATTGCTTGAAGTAAAAAAAAAAAAAAAAAAAAAAAAAACAACAGCGTGGGGTCCCCCTGCCCCCAATCCATACCAGACCCCTTAGGTCTCATAGAAAGGTTAGGAGGGACCCCACAGTCATTTTTTTTTTTTTTTTTAAGTGCGTGGGGTTCCCTCTTAAAGCTATACCAGGCCCTTTAGGCCTGGTAGGACTTTTAAGGGGAATCCCACCCCCCAAAATGGAAAAAAGTGTCTCCCCTAAATTCCTACCAGACACTTGATCCAAGCACAGGCCTGGCAGGTCAGAAAAGGGGGGGGGGTGATCAAGCTGCCCCCTTTCCCTGCAGCTTACCGGGCCTCTTCCCAACAATTCTGGCCTTGTGGTTGTGAGGGTCTGCAGGCAGGGGGGCTCGTTAGCATCAGGGTACCCCTTTAAATAAGGGAGCATCCTGATGCTTCCCCCTCCTTGTGAATGAGTAAGGGGTACTTTGGCCAATCATGGCTCTCACAGTGCATTGTGCTGTGACTGGCCAAAGCATTGCACCTGACCTGTGGTCAAGTGCATTTCTTTAACCAATCATGGCTCTCATAATGCACTGTGAGAGCATAGTGCATTGTGGGACGCTTGGTGGGCGAACAGCCTGCTGAACACCCTTACCGTTCATGTGTTCGGTGAACACACTAGTCGAGCTTACGTTCATCCAGCCCAACACTATGCAGGGCAAAGCCTGCCTGACTGGGCACAAAGTGATTGGATAGTTTATCTAGGTCTGTGTATTACAAAGTTTTGATAAATCTAAAGTTGATTGCATAGATATTATTATTCAGAATGTAGCATGTATGCTGACCCTAAGGAGTGAATCTGGAACCATATAGTATCTCCTATAAAGTCAGAACACTACGTGAGTACATTCGCTGCTGCCAAGGGTGTACTTAAAAGCATACCGCAGATAAACCCAAGAACAAAAATTGAATATTTCAGTTTCCCAGCCATTATATTTTTGTTCACTCTTTTCTGGAATAACATTGTTATGGAAGGATAGCAAGAGAACACTGCCAAAAGTGTAAAATGCAGGCATATCGAAAAACACTGATCTAGACAGCGAGATCACAGATTGCAGTCCTCCTTACCCAGTTCCCTTGCTTTATCTGGACATTTTTCTGATCAAAGACATTTTTACTTTCCTCTGTAATAAACAACGCTTGCACCAGATCTCCAGACATTAGAAAGTTTTCTGTGGGAGGAAAAAAAAGACAAAATGTGTCCATACAGCTATTTGTATGTTTTTTTAGTAGGATAATATTTTATATCTAATGCCATAACTTTGAGGTACAAATGTCATTCATAAATACAATTGAAAAAAAATAAAATGAGTATAACTTATAAATAAGTTTATAGGAAAAAAAGAGCAATTTTCTTCTTCAGGAATGTGCTACTAAGAGTTCAAAAGTATGAGATAAGCATTTCCTAATCCAGCCCTTTTAAAATGTTATGGAAGTTGTAGCTTTTTAGAACATCACTGCAAAAATAATAGCTAATTCCGCAACTAATTCTGGGTGTGCCCGCCCACCCCAAAAACATAATCAAAGTATCACATCCTGCTCTTCTGCCTTGCTGCCAGCAATTCCCAGCTGTCAAAATGACAGCCAGGAGTTGTGTGTAAATACAGGAGCTACTAGCCTCTGTTAAAAAGAAAGAAAAAAACCAGACCTCTTGACACTTTTATAAACACACTGTTTATACAGTCAGGTCCATAAATATTGGGACATCGACACAATTCTAACATTTTTGGCTCTATACACCACCACAATGGATTTGAAATGAAACGAACAGGATGTGGTTTAACCGCAGACTGTCAGCTTTAATTTGAGGGTATTTACATCCAAATCAGGTGAACGGTGTAGGAATTACAACAGTTTGCATATGTGCCTCCCACTTGTTAAGGGACCAAAAGAAATGGGACAATTGGCTTCTCAGCTGTTCCATGGCCAGGTGTGTGTTATTCCCTCATTATCCCAATTACAATGAGCAGATAAAAGGTCCAGAGTTCATTTCAAGTGTGCTATTTGCATTTGGAATCTGTTGCTGTCAACTCTCAAGATGAGATCCAAAGAGCTGTCACTATCAGTGAAGCAAGCCATCATTAGGCTGAAAAAACAAAAAAAACCCATCGGACAGATAGCAAAAACATTAGTCGTGGCCAAAACAACTGTTTGGAACATTCTTAAAAAGACAGAACGCACCGGTGAGCTCTGCAACACCAAAAGACCCGGAAGACCACAGAAAACAACTGTGGTGGATGACCGAAGAATTCTTTCCCTGGTGAAGAAAACACCCTTCACAACAGTTGGCCAGATCAAGAACACTCTCCAGGAGGTAGGTGTATGTGTGTCAAAGTCCACAATCAAGAGAAGACTTCACCAGAGTGAATACAGAGGGTTCACCACAAGATGTAAACCATTGGTGAGCCTCAAAAACAGGAAGGCCAGATTAGAGTTTGCCAAACACATCTAAAAAAGCCTTCACGGTTCTGGAACAACATCCTATGGACAGATGAGACCAAGATCAACTTGTACCAGAGTGATGGGAAGAGAAGAGTATGAAGAAGGAAAGGAACTGCTCATGATCCTAAGCATACCACCTCATCAGTGAAGCATGGTGGTGGTAGTGTCATGGCGTGGGCATGTATGGCTGCCAATGGAACTGGTTCTCTTGTATTTATTGATGATGTGACTGCTGACAAAAGCAGCATGATGAATTCTGAAGTGTTTTGGGCAATATTATCTGCTCATATTCAGCCAAATGCTTCAGAACTCATTGGACGCCGCTTCACAGTGCAGATGGACAATGACCCAAAGCATACTGCAAAAGCAACCAAAGAGTTTTTTAAGGGAAAGAAGTGGAATGTTATGCAATGGCCAAGTCAATCACCTGACCTGAATCTCATTGAGCATGCATTTCACTTGCTGAAGACAAAACTGAAAGGAAAATGCCCCAAGAACAAGCAGGAAGTGAAGACAGTTTCAGTAGAGGCCTGGCAGAGCATCACCAGGGATGAAACCCAGCGTCTGGTGATGTCTATGCGTTCCAGACTTCAGGCTGTAATTGATTGCAAAGGATTTGCAACCAAGTATTAAAAAGTGAAAGTTTGATTTATGATTATTATTCTGTCCCATTACTTTTGGTCCCTTAACAAGTGGGAGTCACATATGCAAACTGTTGTAATTCCTACACCGTTCACCTGATTTGGATGTAAATACCCCCAAATTAAAGCTGACAGTCTGCAGTTAAAGCACATCTTGTTCATTTCATTTCAAATCCATTGTGGTGGTGTATAGAGCCAAAAATGTTAGACTTGATGTCCCAATATTTATGGACCTGACTGTAGGTACAATAGAAAGATACAAAGCATCACTAGTGTTATTTTTGTATTTACTCTGTTCGTTTCATCTGCAGATCAAAGGGGTGAGCTTCGATCTGCATATGATGACAGTTAAAGCAACCTGACAAGTAAAAAAATAGTTTTTTTTTAAATGAAATATGATATGTTAATATGTATTTCCTTATTAACTCTCAGTTTAGCCTGCTCAGCCATAATTAACTCTTTTTTTCTCTTTTTTTCCCTTAGTTTTTTTTCCTGCTGATTATTTTTGTTGATTTAAATTTTTATAAACTTTTAATATTTGTCATTTTTATTTGAGTGTATATTCATTTTTTATCGTCCTAAGAAAGCAGTTCAATGCTTTGAATAATAGATTTAGAGTCATTTTTTAAACAGTGTAAATTATAGAAAAAAAATATTCTTTTTATCTACATTAACATTATTTGTATTTAACTAACACTGATCAATGTGGAAAAAGTTATTTTTTTTAGTTGTGTTATACTTTGTCTATGGATTGCATAACAAATAAAAATAATATCAATAAAGATGGTTTTAACTGCCCTAGAAGAAAGGATGTGTTGAGTTCCACTAATGTATTTTTCTGTTGTTGCATTCAACTGCATTGAGTTAATAATGTTCTATAGCATAATCATATGTGGTTGTAGTTCAGCACTACCAATTACTTGTTCATCTTTGTATATGGTATCGCCCTATGTTCTAAAATGGCATGCATTCTGGTAGATATATTTGGTTGTCCTTGAGAAAAATATGTTCACCAAGCAGGTAACGGACTGTCCTATACCACCCTGCACACATATACTGGTTTAATAAATATCACTGAAAGAATTTCTTCGACATAAATGGACCTGAAGGTCTTCGTCTTCCTACACTTATTGAGTTCAGTCAAATACAGAGTTAATATGACAGAGAGGAGATCCTTAAACCAAAACACATACATCATCTATCCTTCATTGAGTTGACTAGTTACATCCTACCACTTCAAAAAGAATCTCAAATCATGCTTTTACTGGGAAGAGAATCCCAAGGGTCCACAAGGTAGAAGAACAGCTAATAAGTGATCCTTGTAATGGTTCTTATGCTTAAAGGATTGACTTTGGTCATCATCAACACTCCTTGCTCTAGTAATAAGCATAGTTCAAGCCAGGGGCGGACTGACAACTCATGGGGCCCCCGGGCAATAGGGGATCATGGGGCCCCTGTGTCCTTGCCCAAACTCAAAAAAACCTATGAAAAAGGTACCAGGGGCATCTCATGGGGCCCCCTACTGACCCCGGGCCCTCGGGCAGTGCCCGAGTTTCCAAATAATCAGTCCGCCCCTGGTTCAAGCATCAAGCGCAGTTGTAAAACTATTGCTGAGGGAATTCAAGACATCCCCTTCAACTTTCGAATCTCATGCTTCAGGAACTCAAATGTGACACTCACTCTGACAACAAAACATTCCATGATTGATCAAGTCCGTATTAGAGAATCAACTTACAGCAGCATCAGCAAGACAGCTCAAACTATTACTGACAGTTGTGAGTGAATTTTTGACAGATGACCAGGAAAATTCCAGCCAGTGTTGAACATTTCTGCATTCTTGAACCTAAGCTGCATATCAGCTACAGACAAGATCATTACGATTCACACTGAGGAAGCTGACAGCTCAAGCATCACACAAAAAATCCTTGCTAAAAGTGGAAAGCCTAAGAAACCCATTAGATGAGTCAGATGCAGGGGCGGACTGACCATTTGGAAACTTGGGCACTGCCCGAGGGCCCAGGGTCAGTAGGGGGCCCCATGAGATGCCCCTGGTACCTTTTTCATAGGCTTTTTTGAGTTTGGGCAAGGACACAGGAGCCCCATGATCCCCTATTGCCCGGGGGCCCTATGAGTTGTAAGTCTGCCCCTGGTCAGATGAGGTTAGACCAGCAATGGGCAAACTACGGCCCGCGGGCCGTATACGGCCCGGCGGACCTTTTAATCCGGCCCGCGGAGCTAGGCTCCCGCAAGGCCAGTGGTCGGCAAGCCGCGGCTCTTTACAAATTTAGATGCGGCTCTCCTGTGTGCCGGGCGCCCGCTCCCCTCCCTCCTCTCCCCTCCTCTCCTCTCGGATGGCCGCCCCCCCTCTCGGATGGCCGCCCCCCTCCCTCCTCTCGGACGTCAGGACTCTGCAGCTGTCAGGATGTAGGCGGGGCAGCCAGGATGTAGGCGGGGCAGCGTGACGAACTCCTCTCACAGTCCTCCCTGAAGACCAGAACGGCGCGGGAATACGAGAGGAACGCGCGGACCAAAGGTAAGTGAATTGACACAGGGGGGGGACTTACTATATGGGGGACTTACTATATGGGGGATGAATTACTATATGGGGGGATGAATTACTATAGGGGGAATGAATTACTATATGGGGGACTTACTATATGGGGAATGAATTACTATATGGGGGACTTACTATATGGGGAATTAATTACTATATGGAGGACTTACTATATGGGGAATGAATTACTATATGGGGGACTTACTATATGGGGAATGAATTACTATATGGAGGACTTACTATATGGGGAATGAATTACTATATGGAGGACTTACTATATGGGGGATGAATTACTATATGGGGGACTTACTATATGGGGAATTAATTACTATATGGAGGACTTACTATATGGGGAATGAATTACTATATGGGGGACTTACTATATGGGGAATGAATTACTATATGGAGGACTTACTATATGGGGAATGAATTACTATATGGGGGACTTACTATATGGGGAATGAATTACTATATGGAGGACTTACTATATGGGGAATGAATTACTATATGGAGGACTTACTATATGGGGGATGAATTACTATATGGGGGATGAATTAATATGGGGGATGAATTAATATGGGGGATGAATTACTATGTGGGGGATGAATTACTATGTGGGGGATGAATTACTATATGGGGGATGAATTACTATATGGGGGATGAATTACTATGGGGGATGAATTACTATAGGGGGGATGAATTACTATGGGGGACGAATTACTATATGGGGGACGAATTACTATATGGGGGATGAATTACTATGGGGGATGAATTACTATATGGGGGATGAATTACTATATGGGGGATGAATTACTATATGGGGGATTAATTACTATGCTTACTATGGGGGAATATTACTATACTTACTATGGATGACACATACACATCATTCATCTACTCTTGGTCCGGCCCCCGGGTCCAATATATGAACCCATTGCGGCCCTCAAGTCAAAAAGTTTGCCCACCCCTGGGTTAGACTCTTTAGAGAAATCATCTTCCTCTTGAGAATCTATGTGCATATGTTACCAGCGTTTACTCAACTGGTCTTCATGGACCCGTTGTGTTTATACCTGGAGTCAGTTGAGGCAAGGGTGGACCAACCATTTGGAAATTCGGGCACTGCTCGATGGCCCGGGGTCAGTAGGGGGCCCCATGAGATGCCCCTGGTACCTTTTTTCATAGGATTTTTTGAGTTTGGGCAAGGACACGGGCCCCATGATCCCCTATTGCCCCATGAGTTGTCAGTCCGCCCCTAAGTTGAGGTTTGACATACTGTGGCCTCTCTGCCTTAAAGTTGGGTTCTCATGTTAGAGGAAGCCAGGAGATTTGAACTGTTGATGTTTTCCTCTTCTAAAGATCATCTTCAGCTGGACTGTTCACATGTTCTTAAAAACTTTTAACCAAGTATTATTATTCACTTTTTTTAAAGACTTATCTATACATTTTGCATGCTTTTTTTTCATGTGTTTCAGGTTCAGATGACAAGCCAACATTTACTGACTTGAGTTGATTTCATGTTCTAGTGAGATCTATAGATAATGTTTTGCATATACGGACATCCTATGGTAGTTTAGTACAACTACAAGTTGCTTATCTTAGTATTTGGCATCTCCCACTGTTTTCCCCTACTGACTCATGTAGAAGATCTGTGATTTATACTGGTGACTGAACAACTGAGGAGGAGAAAGAGACAGGAGACAAAGTACTTAATCTACTACTGCTTTGGAGGAACAGTGGAAAGATAAGAGGAGCAGAGGAGAGTTCATTCTTCATCTACTACTGCTTTGGAGGAACAGTGGAAAGAGGAGAGGAGCAGAGGAGAGTTCATCCTTCATCTACTACTGCTTTGGAGGAACAGTGGAAAGAGGAGAGGAGCAGAGGAGAGTTCATCCTTCATCCACTACTGCTTTGGAGGAACAGTGGAAAGATGAGAGGAGCAGAGGAGAGTTCATCCTTCATCTACTACTGCTTTGGAGGAACAGTGGAAAGAGGAGAGGAGCAGAGGAGAGTTCATCCTTCATCTACTACTGCTTTGGAGGAACAATGGAAAGAAGAGAGGAGCAGATGAAAGTTCATCCAAGGAGTTCATATGAGCCTGAGAATACCTGCATTACAAGCACTTTTGGCTCATAATGGTTTTCCATGTGGTCTACATTTTCCGGTGAGTGAGGGGAGCATGGCACTGTGATTGTCTGGACTAGATAAGAAGTTGTTCAGTGGCACAGGAGACTGCACCAATTTATTTGCACTGGCATACTATTGCAGGAACAATATTGGACATTTATTATTATTGTTTGTTTGCGCAATATATGTATTTTATGGTTTAATATTTGCACACAAATATTGGTGGTGGATTAAAAGGAACAGGACTATGAATTTTGGATATCATTGATTGAGGTCATTAGCCTTTGCAACAGCAGCACAACATAAGTATATTTACAGTGGGGCAAAAAAAAAGTATTTAGTCAGCCACCAATTGTGCAAGTTCTCCCACTTAAAAAGATGAGAGAGGCCTGTAATTGGCATCATAGCTAGACCTCAACTATGAGAGACAAAATTAGGAAAAAAAATCCAGACAATCACATTGGCTGATTTGGAAAGAATTTGTTTGCAAATTATGGTGGAAAAGTATTTGGTCACCTACAAACAAGCAAGATTTCTGGCTCTCACAGACCTGTACCTTCTTCTTTAAGAGGCTCCTCTGTCCTGCACTCATTACCTGTATCAATGGCACCTGCTTGAACTTGTTATCAGTATAAAAGACACCTGTCCACAACCTCAAACAGTCACACTCCAAACTCCACTATGGTGAAGACCAAAGTGCTGTCGAAGGACACCAGAAACAAAATTGTAGACCTGCACCAGGCTGGGAAGACTGAATCTGCAATAGGCAAGCAGCTTGGTGTGAACAAATCAACTGTGGGAGCAATAATTAGAAAATGGAAGACATACAAGACCACTAATAATCTCTCTCGATCTGGGGCTCCACGCAAGATCTCACCCCATGGGGTCAAAATGATCACAAGAACGGTGAGCAAAAATCCCAGGACCACACGGGGGGACCTAGTGAATGACCTGCAGAGAGCTGGGACCAACGTAACAAAGGCTACCATCAGTAACACACTACGCCGCCAGGGACTCAGATCCTGCAGTGCCAGACATGTCCCCCTGCATGTCCCCCCAGTACATGTTCGGGCCCGTCTGAAGTTTGCTAGAGAGCATTTGGATGATCCAGAAGAGGATTGGGAGAATGTCATATGGTCAGATGAAACCAAAATAGAACTGTTTGGTAGAAACAAAACTCGTCGTGTTTGGAGGAGAGGGAATGCTGAGTTGCATCCAAAGAACACCATACCTACTGTGAAGCATGGGGGTGGCAATATCATGCTTTGGGGCTGTTTCTCCGCAAAGGAACCAGGACGACTGATCCATGTACAGGACAGAATGAATGGGGCCATGTATCGTGAGATTTTGAGTGCAAACCTCCTTCCATCAGCAAGGGCATTGAAGATGAAACATGGCTGGGTCTTCCAACATGACAATGATCCCAAACATATCGCCCGGGCAATGAAGGAGTAGCTTTGTAAGAAGCATTTCAAGGTCCTGGAGTGGCCTAGCCAGTCTCCAGGTCTCAACCCCATAGAAAACCTTTGGAGGGAGTTGAAAGTCCGTGTTGCCCAGCGACAGCCCCAAAACATCACTGCTCTAGAGGAGATCTGCATGGAGGAATGGGCCAACATACCAGCAATAGTGTGTGCCAACCTTGTGAAGACTTGCGTTACGTTTGACCTCTGTCATTGCCAACAAAGGATATATAACAAAGTATTGAGATGAACTTTTGATATTGACCAAATACTTATTTTCCACCATAATTTGCAAATAAATTCTTTCCAAATCAGCCAATGTGATTGTCTGGATTTTTTTTTCTCATTTTGTCTCTCATAGTTGAGGTCTACCTATGATGCCAATTACAGGCCTCTCTCATCTTTTTAAGTGGGAGAACTTGCACAATTGGTGGTTGACTAAATACTTTTTTGCCCCACTGTATCTGTATAGAGATGGTGGTGGTAGATTTAAAGGGGCAGTGCTGTGAGTTTTGAATACCATTATTGAGGTTAATAAGCCTCAGTAACGGCAGCAAGTTTGTCCTGTAATTTATTATAATTCTTTTCAAGATATTTGGTTAATTTTTTCTCAGTTTTTTTGTACATTTAAGTTTCATTACTTAGAGGAATGTATCACAATCCTAGTGCAGGTAAATAAAGATAGAGTAGGCCATCATACTGAACCCTTGTTTAAGTTACTACTTTTCCTTGAACCACCCTTACACTTGACTTAACCTTTTCAGTCTTTGTTTCTCTTGCCTATCATGCAATCGAGCTATAGCCTATACCAGTTCTCAAGCAGACCCTAATTGAATGCAAGCTCATTAAATACTCTTAAAGTGCACCAACGCTTTGAAGGGCCCCAACGTTAGAAGAAACAACTTAAGGGATGCCCGGTTTACTTAATTTACCCATATACCACCTCCTGTTACCTACTTTGGGTAGCTCGGGCCTGGACAGTGACTTTCAGGTAGCCTTAGGCCTAGTATAGCCACTCTTGTGCCATTGAGCAGTGTAGCTCTGGGGGTTTAGACATATCTGAATTTTTACTACTGCTTATTGTTACACTCAGGGTGACAGCATTACTGTTTAACCTGACCTGGGTGGCTGGTAGAATTTTTAGGTTCGGTGGTATTGTTAACTGCTCTGTATGTTAAGTGCACTACCATCTTTGGTATATAATGCAGGTAAATAAAGATAGAGTAGGCCATCATACTGAACCCTTGTTTAATGCCTTTTTCTCTGATCACTCTCCTATTACTATTGTTTAACCCTTAATCAATATACAAATTTTGTTTTTATTGATTGTTCTAGTGTGTATTATTTCCAAATAGCATTATTGCTGAATGCTAGATTAGCTATCTGTGGTTTCTTTGTGAGACCTGGTGCTTGTGTACTCGGCTGGGTATGTCGGAAAGGCTGGGGGTTTCAAGAATGTCAAGGTCAATTAGCGGCTCTTTTTTGGTGGCACTACACTTTATTTCTTCCTTCACACTTTTTTACACTTCTCACTTGCCCACTTACCATGATTCTTGCAAGACACAACCTTGTCCCGTTGTTTTAATGCCCAGGATGTTCCTGTTGTGCATGGAAGACAAATAGGCCTGTAAAAGGAAAATCATTTTGAAATGCTTTTATTGCTTATATTCATTGGTAAAATGTACATATTGTTAAACATTTTTTTACAGTGCATTGTAAAAAATAATATTTTTCCTTGCTATTTCTTTTACACTTTCTGTGAGTTCAAATTTTAAGTTACTCTAACAGTTTTTACTTTAAAATAACTTTCAATATGACAATCTATCATAAATTTTAGTATAACAAGTATTTTCACACTTCTTAGCCCATATTTTTGTTATTGTATCAGAAAAAAAGATTTGTATGTTAGACACTAGAGGGAATTCTTAGCAGCTCAGTTCAATCACTCTGTCTTTACAGAGTCTGTAAAGATACCAGCAAGAGAAGGAATATAATGTATTCTAAAACAAAGGCAGATGGGCATAGTGTATTGAAAAGTAGCACTTAATAAAGCTACTCAGATTCCTGGACCACCATTTAGATATTTCTAGCTTAATTAAAGCTGAATTCTGGGATAAACAATTATTGTCCAAATACAGAAGTCCTGTGTAATCTTTATTGAATCTCGGTGTGCTTTGTGTATTTCTTCCAGATCTGTGCAGTAATCCAGTGTGAGACTTTACCTCTGTGCAGGAGCTTCCTGTAATAAAGACCAGCCACTGCTGCTCTCTCTCTTTGTGCAGGGTGACTGGTCTTGTCTCCGCCCCCTCCTGTAGTTTCAGCAGGCAGCCTGTAATGGGTGGGACTGTGGGCCCCTCCCACAGCTCTGCTTGCTGCACAGGCTATGTACAGCTCAGTGACGACGTCACTGTTAATGAATTTAAAATATAATATCTGGATTTGTAAAGGCATTTGGTGCACACATTGTGGTTTTATATCCTTTTGTGTTTATTGAAGAATATATTTAAATGAAAGATTGTATGCCTTGAGTTCAGCTTTAGGTGTAACAAAGAAATCAAATCCTAAGTTTGGTTTTGCAAATGTGTTTTTTTAACCCTTTGGCTGCCACAGATGTAAGTACTATGCCTATGATAGCACAGTCCTGTAAACCAACTCATATCTGCTGTAGATTCACTGACCTCCTCTGCATTGAATGAAGCCCAGAAGCAATGATCTTTTTGTCATTTTAGGTTTTAGAGCTATCATTCCCTAACTGCTGTGTCTGGCAAGATCTGTAATTGATCAGCTTCAATGGGGTGCAAAGATGACATTAGGGGTTTAATAGACCCCTAGGGGTTTGTTTACTAAAGCTGGAGAGTCCAAAATCAGACTCCCTTCTGCATAGAAACCAATCAGCTTCTAACCTCAGCTTGTTCAATGAAGCTTTGGCAATGAAACCTGGAAGCTGATTGGTTTCTATGCAGAAGTGAGTCTGATTTTGCACTCTCCAGCTTTAGTAAATAAACCCCCTAGAGTCTCCTTAAAGAGGATCTATTATATCCATTGTGTCAGGACCCTATATGAGGGCAACATAATTAAGTGAAAAAAAAAATAAAGGTACAGTAATTTATGAAAAAAAAAAAAACAGAAAATAAAAATGTTAAACCCTCCTTTTGCCCTCCTGTGCATGCACATACAAAGGTAAACGCATGGGTCAGGTGCGTGTACATACAAAAACTACAATTTTGTCACACATATTAAGTATTGCCATGAACATCAAAACGAAAGTATGAATTCTAGGGCCATTTATTACTTACTCTAAACTGATGACTTGTAAGGGTTTTAAAGAGTTGCTTATAGGCAATTTTGTGCACCATTTCAATATTAAGGATTGACATGTTTAATAATACCTATTTATCCGATGTAACCTCACCTTTTTATATTTTATCAAAAATTGGGTAATATATTGTGTTTGCGTAAACTAAAATTAAATTTAGTGCATTTTTTTACTGAAATTTTGGGGTGATAAAATCTTGCGCTAATACCATTTGACATAAAAAAAATCAGAACTACCTCCATTTTATTCTACAAGGTCTCTACATTTGGGGTTTTTGACTAATCATCAAGTCTAAAATGTACATTTTAACATGTGTGCAAGAAAAAAATAATGCAAAACTACATCGGCAGCGAAAAGGCAAACTGTTAAAAAACATATTTAGTACATATCTGGAATAAAGTGATATTTCCTATGTTTTAGCCCCTTACGCACATTGCAATTAAGGAAAAATAACTGTTGATGTGCCAGAAATAAATTATGCTCTTCATTTCCCATTTGAGCAGACAACACATTGGGCCCGATATACTATTGACGATGCACCATCAAAAAAGTGCAGACTGCGACATTTATACTATTGCACCAAATAAACAGTGAATCTCATTGCATGTTTCTGTGGAATGTGATGTGCATTATAAATATCACTCTTCGCAACATTTTGAGATTTGTGTGCCATGTGATTGAAAAGACTGCATACATTTTATTTACAAAAAAAAAACTTGTTACTGTGCCATGCAGTAGGTGTTGCAGGGAGCCTTAAAAAATATGGCCACTGTGACATAATTCCACAAGAACATGCATTGTAATTATGGTGCAGTAGTAAATGTCGAAAGCTGAGCTATTTTAAACACTTGCCGTCCAGAGGATTTACCCCCCTTCCTGAACAGGCCATTTTTTCTGTTCGGCACTGTGCTATTTCAACTGGTAATTGCGCGGTTGTGCAACACTGTACCCAAATTAAATTTATGCCCTTTTTTACACAAATGGAGCTTTCTTGTGGTGGTATTTGATCACCTCTGCGGTTTTAAATTTTTGCGCTTTAAACAAAAAAAGACCACAAATTTAAAAAAAAAAATTTTTTTTTTCACTTTTGGTTATAAAATATATCCTATAAACTCAAAGTTAGTCATAAATTTAGGCTAAAAATGTATTCTGCTACATGTCTTTGGTAAAAAAAAAAAATCTCAATACGTGTATATTAATTGGTTTGTGTGAAAGTTATAGTTGCTACAAACCATGGTATATATATTGGATTTTACGTAGCTTTTACTTTTTGACTGCCTATCACATTTCTTGAGGTGCTAAAATGCCAGGGCAGTACAACCCCCCCCCCCCCCCAAAATGACCCCTTTTTTTGGAAAGTAGACACCCCAAGGATTTTTCAGAGAGGCATGTTGAGTCTATGGAACGTTTTATTTGTTGCCACAAATTTTCTGATTATGACAATTTTTTTTTTTTTTACACAAAGTTGTCACTTTAATGATATATTGCTCATGCATGCCATGGGTATATGTGGAATAACACCCCAAAACACATTCTCCTACTTCCGAATATGGGGATGCCATATGTGAGAGACTTTTTGGCAGCCTTGCTACATACAAGCCCCCAAAATCCAATGATCACCTTCAGGCTTTAAAAGGGCATATTTCCTCATATCACTTCCCCACTACCTATCACAGTTTCAGAGGCTCTAAAATGCCAGGATAGTACAAACACCCCCCCCCCCAAATGACCCCTTTTTGGAAACTAGACACCCCAAGGAATTTGATAAGAGGCATGGTGGGTATTTTACAGATATCATTTTTGTCACAGGGTTTTGAAAAAGAAAAGAAAAAAAAAATTTTTTGTTTTCTTTCTTCATTTTCCAAAAAAACATGTGGCAACAAATGAGATCTGCAAAACACTCACCATGCCTCTTGGCAAATACCTTGGAGTGTCTGTTTTCCAAAAAGGGGTCATTTGGAGGGGTGCTTCTACTATCCTGGCATTTCAGGGCCATCATTAGAAGCTTATGCCACACATCACCCACTCTTGAAGACCAAGCCTTTTCTGACACTTTTTTTATTCACATGAAAAAAATAGTTTTTTTACTAGAAAATTACTTTGAACCCCCAAACAGTATATATTGTTTTTAAAGCAGAGGCCCTAGAGAATAAAACAGTGAGTGTTGAAATTTTTTATGTCACTTAGCATTTGTGCAGTGATTTTATCAAGCGCAAATCTTTTGGGAAAAATACACTTTTTAGAATTTTAATGCACAAAAACACAATATATTGGCCAATTGCTTGATAAAATATAAAAGATGATGTTATGCTGAGTAAATAGATACCAAACATGACATGCTGTAAAATTGCACATGCAAAGTTCATACCATTTTATTATTGATAGATGACTCTTTATCCGCTTCCATACCGGGCACTTCTACCCCCTTCCTGTACAGGCCAATTTTCAGCTTTCAGCGCTGTCACACTTTGAATGACAATTGCGAGGTCATGCAACATTGTACCCATATGAAATTTTTATCATTTTTTTCTGACAGAGCTTTATTTTGGTGGTATTTAATCACCTCTGGGTTTTTTATTTTTTCTTAAAACCAAAAAAACCGCTGAAAATTTTGAAAAAAAAAATCATTTTTCTTTTAGTTTTTGTTGTAAAATTTTGTAAATAAGTGATTTTTCTCCTTCACTGATGTGTGCTAATGAGGCTGCAGTGATGGACACTGATAGGTGGCACTGATGGGCATTGACAGGCATCACTAATGGGCACTGAAAAGCAGCACTGATATATGGCACTGTTAGGTGGCACTGACTGGCACTGTTAGGTGGCACTGTTAGGTGGCACTGACTGGCACTGATGCGCACTGATAGGCAGCACTGATATGCGGCACTGACTGGCAGCACTGATTGGCATTGATAGGTGGCACTGACTGGCACTGATGGGTGACACTGAAAGGAAGCTCAGATGGGTACTGATATGTGGCATTGATGTGCACTGGTAGGCACTGATATGTGGCATTGATGTGGCACTGATGGGCACTGGCATGTGGCATTGTTCAGCACTGACAGCTGGCACTGATGGACACTGACAGGTGGCACTTCTGGGGGCACACTGATGATCAGTGTACATGTCCCCTCTGAGGAATGCCAATAACAGCTCGTGAGGAGAGAAATGCCAATAACCAGCATTTCCCTCTTTACATGTGATCAGCTGTGATTGGACACAGCTGATCACATGACCAAGCCAACATCTTTGGCTCTTTCCATAGACCGGTGATCCGCTGTGTCTGAGGGACACAGCGCACCGCCGATTGCCGCGCTGCGCGCTCCCTGAGCCACGCATGCGCGGTGAGAATGGGAGGACATCATATGACGTCCTCCCAGAATGAGAGAACCACCGTCATTGGACTATATGGCAGGCGGGAGGTGGTTAAAAGCCTTTACAGGTCACCAATTTATATTTCCACAGAAGATCTAGTGCTAGAATTACTGCCCTCGATCTGATGTTTGTGGTGATACCTCACATGCATGGTGCAAGCGCTGTTTACATACTGGCACAGGGTGAAAGCTTGCGTATGCAAGTGTGCGCGCAAAGGGAGGCAAGGGTGCTTTTTTTTTTTTTTTTTTTTTTTTTTTTTTTTTTTTTTTAATTTTTTTTTTTTTTCATTGATTTTACACTGTCACTTTCATTTTTTTTAATCACTTTTAATTCTATAACAGGGAATGCAAATATCCCCTATAACTCCAATAGGAATTGTCATATATTCTTCTTTTTTTTTTTTGTTAAATCTGTGGTCTATCAGACTCTAGATATCTCCTCTGCCCTTACATTATCTAATCTCACTAAGATTGGTGTGGTCAGATGCTTTCCCAATTTACAAATTGCGCTGTTTATAATCTGTGAAACTGAAGTGATGAAATGCTCGTAGCTTCCAGTCTCTTAGACTATAGAGATGATTGGAGCCATTCTGGTCTCTGATCAGCTCTTTGGTCAGCCAGTGGAACTGCCAGCTGCATTCTCGGATTCCCCTGTGTGACAGGAGAGCCCAAGAAAACTGTGGAAGGCAGCGGGGGGGATGGGGGGGATGTCTGTTCCCGCTGCTTGTAAAAACAATTCAGCAGCTAAGTGGCCACTAGGACCGCTTTTACATGAAAGCCGACTGCCAGCTGAAAAAACCTGTACCAGAATGATACCTGTAGCTGCAGGCATCATCCCTGTATAACCACTTAAAGTACGGCGACGTACCAGTACATTGCTGGTCCGTGTTGGGCATATATGTAACAGCAGAGAACACTGCTATACGATGAATTGGTTCTGTGGATCAACATGACCAAAATTAATTCTTTTCTGTAATGCCCATTTTGAGGGTTAGGCCCAAAAGAGTTTTAAATTCAGAAACTGTAATAGGTTCCCATGCGAATTGTCTAGAAAGAGCTGAATTTGGGTGGGCGGCCATGTATTGTTGTGCGTATAAATTGGTTTGGCCCACAATCAATTGATACAAATCTTCCATGAAAAACAGCAGAGGGGCTAAACACTAATGCTGGCAGCGAACGGGGCTGATCCTGCTAACTCTGCATTTTTGGGGACACTATACAAAGGAGGCGCTAGTATAGTTCTGTACGTGATCAAACACTAAACTAGTAATGGCGGTGATCAGCGACCTATAGCGTGAGTGCGATAGTGTGTGGGCAATCTAATGCTAGCTGACCCTGATGTTATGATGTCGCTAGTGGCAGGAATACAGTGCTCAGTGAAACATTCTATATACTGACACAGTACTAATGACACTGGTTGGGTGACAGGGTGATCAAAGGGTTAATAGGGGCAATCAAAGGGTTAAATGTGCTAATCTAACGCATGCGTGTAAATGTAATGGTGCTTTTACTCTGTGCCGTGTTCTCTCTTCTCTTCCTGGACCGCCGGGTGGGGGTGGGGCAGCCAGGGGCGCAGGTGCATTCACACCCCAAAATAGGAAGCAACGCAAGATTACATCACTTTGCCAAGAGCTGCTGCTTGCTCGCAAAATGCGGGTAAGCGGTTGGCAAGTAGTTAACGTTAGTTTTGATTTTTTTAAAAATACTTTTATCAGAATAGTACAATGTTACCATAGTAACATTGTACTACTGTGGCGTGGGGGGGGGGGGGTGATCAGGGATTTTATTTTTATTTTTTTTTTTTACACTTTGCTTTGCAAGAGAAATAAAGATAATATGCGTACACTCAAATATCAAACTCTCTACAAACAAAAAATGATACCTAATTTGTGAAGAAAAGTCAAGCTTCTGGCTCAGATTGACAAGAGCCAAATCAAAGTCAAAGGATTTTGGAATATTCTTATCTTGCTTGCCGTTGGGGTCATATTTTGGATGGCGGTAAATGTTGTTGACTTTGCGTGTAACTTTTTTTCCGTCAGATGAACCTGAGACATCCAATAAGAATATGACTTCTTTCAACGGAATTAATACAGTCAGGAAGGAAATATAGGAGTTACCACTGGTGACTTGTTTGTGAATCTTACAGGTTTCAAAGGCCAAATGCCTACCATCACTGCTTAATGAACATGCATGCAGCCAATGAAGCTGGAACACCTTATATATAGATGGTCCTCTCTTTTCTTTTATTTTACTAAGTAGTGAAGCCAGAATCAGAATGAAAGTCTTGGAGATTGTAACTTCAAAAATTAGTCAGCAGTGGCAGTTCCTACATTTCTGTCCTGATTGGTTTGTTTAAAGCCAAGTACATTATAAACACGATAACATTAAAAAGTGCAGAAATAAATGGTTTCTTCCAGAACTCTAAACAGAAAATTATGACCACTGACCATCAATGGTAGGGCTACGTTCCTCTCACTGACCACCAAGGTTGGAATTACATTTCTACCACTGACCAGCAATGATGAGGATACTTTTCTCCCACTGAGCATCAGTGAAAGGGCTACATTCCTGGCTGACCTCCAATGATGAGGCAGCATTCCTCCCACTGAACACCAAATGAGGGTGCACCATTCCTCACACTGACTACTGATTCTGGAGTAGTTATTACCCATACTGAAGGTGAAGCACCTATTACTGACACTGGCCACTGATGCTGGGGCATTTATTACTCCTACTGACCACTGACACCGAGACATTTATTACCACAATTGACCACTGACACAAGAACATTTATTACTTCTACTGACACTGGGGCATTTATTACTTCCACTGACCATTGATGCCAGGGCATTTATTACTTGCACTTAATACTGAAGAAGGGGCATTCATTACCTCTACTGATCACTGATAACCAGGCATTTAATACTTCTTCTGAAATGAAGAAGGCCCTTTTCTGTTCCAGCATGACTGCCCCTGTGCAAAAATCTAGCTCCACAAAGACATGGTTTGATGAATTTGTTGTGGAGGACCTCAAGTGATTTACACAGAGAACTAGCAAAGACAAATGCTACTACGCTTGGGGATGGACTCAATGTAGGCTAGGACCACATCATGAATGTCCTGGAATGTGCACACCTTGCTGCCCTCAAAAGACCAGGGAAATCCAAATATACTGAATGAAGAAATAACAAACAGAGAACGCACGGGCCTAGTTCATTACCATAAAAAATGTTAATGAGAAATAAAAGTAGGTGTTGTACTCACAAACGACAGTAAAGTCAAACGCACATCATAAAAGAACAGCGTGGTCAATACCGCACTATGTGACTGTCCGCAATAGGGAGTGTTGACATCAAATAGGCTGACGCATTTCGAGAGAAACATAGAAACACAGCGTCTCTAAGTGTGTGCTGTGAGGGTATTTAATAGAAAGATAGGTAGTAACTGTCAGGGACCACGGGTTGCGCTGCGGCACACGAAACTGTGCATGCGCAGATCGCCTAGGTGCATCAATATGTGGGCATTAGGACCTGGACATCCGCGGCAGCAATTGCGGCCACGCATGCGCACCAATGACGGTGCAGTGCGCACTATTTAAACTGGCCAGGCAGTGTTCACATTGCCGCAAGGTCTAGTATCTGTTACCTGTGTTCCTGTAGTGCGTTCCTTGTTGCTGACCCTCCCTGTTCTGATTTGTGTTGATCTTCTCCTGCTCTGACCACCGGCTCATCCTCGACTACTCTCCTGCTTGTTGTTATATTACTATTGGACCTCCTGTTGCTGAACCTTGGCTCATGACCCAGCTGCTCTGTCTACTGTTTGGTACCTACCTGCCCCCACTGTTACCGACCCGGCTAGTCTGACCACGCTCACTCCGGACTGTCATCCATCCATCACGCTCAGGACCTGGACCTGTCAACTCCTTCACAGCAGGCTCATCCCTGGCACATACCCTCAGCGGGACCCCTCTACCATATTTGGGTGCACCCAGGGGTCGCGACCTGGTTTCAGTCTTGCACCAAGTCCATCCCCACCATCAGGGGCTCTGGTGAAAAGGCAGACTGAGACTTAGACTCCACGTCCTGGGGAATCCCGTTCTGTGGGTCGCTAGAGATCCCGTTGGGTGGTGTCTGACAGTAACTCCCATCTTAGAATTTAAAAACAGGCTTATGGGTAAGAGGGTGAGACGTCTGTAGCCAGATGTTGTTGTGTGTCTGATCCAGAGAGGAGATCGATTGAGTCCATCAGCAGGTGGTGATGTGCATGTGTAACATGGATGGTAACCCTGGTGGAATTCCTTTTTGTATTGACGTGTTTCGAGGACTTGCTCTGAGGAAGGGGCACAGGCAAGTCCTCGAAACATGTCAGCCCATTGGATGTCTACACTCCCTATTGTGGACAGTCATGTAGTGTGGTGTTGACCAAGCTGTTCTTTTATGACGTGCCTTTGACTTCACTGTCGTTTGTGAGTACAATACCTACTTTTATTTCTTATTAAACATTTTTTATGGTAATGCACTCACTAGGCCCGTGCGCCCTCTATTTGTTCTTTCTTCATTCGGTTGATTTACACAGAGCCCTGACCTCAACCTTACTTAAAACCTTTACAATCAATTGCAATGCCGATAGTGAGACAGGTCCTCTCCTTCAACATCCATTCCGCACCTGCTCTTTTAGCTATATGAATACAAATTACTGCTAACACATTCTAGAATATAGGATCATATATGGTCAGGTTTTCACAAACCTTTGGCCATACAGTGTTTTTTTTTTGGCCACTTTATAGGAGATTGTACATTCAGACTGTAAATGTATGACCAATCATCATTTCTTATTATAGGCCCAACATGTCATTGAAGTTTATTCCTTTCTATCATATGAAGCTTCCAAAAATGTTGTTAACTGAAGTTCTCCTTTATTTATTCTGTACATAAAGTTATCACCATGGCTTCTACAGCTCCACTTACTTAAGTCCACATTGACAAAGTGTGGTTGGTCATCTAAGTGGAAGCAGTGAGCAGCAGTCAGGATGACGTTTTTCGTAATAATGGATCCTTTACAGTTCTCCACTCCTTTATCCCTCTGAAAAGATAAAATGGTCACAGTGAGCAACCACTTATAACACCTGCTTAATGCTGTCTGTCTCATGGCTACTTTGTTCAAATTAACAGGGTTTGTCCAACTATGCTTCTCCATTGCTCTATGTTCTGTATAGCATCATTTTGTTGAGTAGGGAGCCATCTATCTTTGAGGTGTTCACTGCAACTACACCTGTTTTTATTATTCCTCTCAACAAGAATAGGGAGTGTCTTAATAAAGATTTCCCATCTATCACTGCAACCATTTTAGCTACTAGAAGAACACCAGTGAAGGTCTCCTCCATTTTCCCTTTGATACACATATGCTTTTAAGTTAATTCATTGAGTTTGTTAAAGTCACGTATATATCCAGATCACACTTTATGTATTTAATGTGATTGCTAGGTAGCTGTTTCCAAAAAATATGTTCATTGTATGCATTTGTGAGAGACATGTTTATAAGCATATTGTAACTCTTCAGTTTATGTAATTGTATTGCCATTTTACAGAACTATTCACAGAAGTAAATCCAGTTTTGGAAAGAAACACAATGTTGCTTCTGTCAGTTTTGTAAGCTAGCCATCGGCTAGCTAGTAGGACAGCACACTGTACATATGAATTTTTGGTGTCAAACAAATGAGGGAATTGTTTTTGGAATAGGAAGATGGCCACTCAAACTTTATCCAATGCAATTCAAAATAGTATTAAACTTGCAGCCCTTTTTAGTTTAACACATTAAAGCGGAGCTCCACCCAAAAGGGGAAGTTCCTCTTTAAAGATTGGTCTCCCATCCCCCATTAAGGATTGACACCTTTGGAGCGGGGGGAGGGAGTGTGTACCTGAAATTGACAGGTACCCACTCTCCCTTTTCTGCTGCGATCACCTAGGCGATCGGTAGGGGAAGTTGTCCTCCCCCTCTCCCTCCTCGTAGTCTTAGAACACTACAGGACCAGCACTACCAACTGTGAAGCTGCAAGCTGTCACAGCCGGGTGCCCAAACTGAAGATACCGGCTCTAGGAACACCAGACAGACGGTGAAATGGGCTGCGGGGAGGACACAGTGGGATCGAGGGACAGGTAAGTGGCTATTTTTTAAAAGTCAGCAGCTACAGTTTTTGTAGCTGCTGACTTTCATTTTTTCACACTGTGACTGGAACTCCGATGTAAGCACAATAAAAGAAACATTTCCTAGTAGATTATTTGTTAAACCTTTTACCCCAACACCTGCAGTTTACAACATTCAATGCTGTTGGCTCCTGCTTTCTCAGTGCTGCTTACCTGGACATCCAGTCTTCACAGAAAAGAGTTAATAATGGACAGTGCAGTCTCCAGCCAGTCTGTTAGCTTGGAAAAAGGAGGCGGGAGAGCAGGGGAGGAGCTATCACTATCTCCACCTCATCTAGTCAGAAAATGCCTTGTATTCATTGAAAAAATACTGTACATGACAGTCTGTGAACAACGGTGGTGCTGAGGGAACAACCCCCATGTGGTCAATGTGCAGTGGGGCATCCATTAGGCACAGCATAAGGATACAGGTGATTTCAGTAGTATCACCAACTACTACACTGATTGTTAGTTTCCCTGCAGTTCCCCAAGTATGAGATATGAATACTTACATTGTGACAAGCTGGACTAATGTAACTATGCAATACTGATCATACCTGGAATTCATCTTTAACCTCTTCACGCCGAGCGCACGCAAATGTGCGGCCTTTCGGCATCTGGGCCTCGACTCCGAGCGGCCGCACATTTGCGTGCAATTAAAAAAAACATGTGCTGAGAGTGTGCGCCTTGCGCGCTCCCAGCACACATGTCCGGTACTCAAGGAAAGGTCCCGATCTCATCTTGTGATCGGGACCTTTCCCGATCATGTGACCGCCAGTTCTCGGTTTCTGAAACCCTTAAAGGGCCAGGAGGCGCCGGCGCCAAGGGGTTAAAGAGGAACCTTTAGAATCTGCTCCACCCTGCCTCTTTTGCATTTAAAGGCAAAACCAAAAAAAAAGCAGAAAATGCCTCTAAAATCAGCGTGTTTTCTGCCCAGGTGCATGAAGCCTTTGGTTTTATTCACACTAGTATATGCTTATTTTCTGCATGGAAAGAAAGTTCTCCCTGGCAGAGCTAATGAAAAATCTACATAAAGTATGTGCCTAATGCATTCATGTTTAGACATGCGCAAAGTTCTTTACATGGTTACCCAACTTTGCTTGTCTGGACAAGAAATGAGTGCTCCCTACTTACGGTGATTGAAAGTTTGGCAATCCATGGAAATTTTTCATTGTCATCTTTTGAATAATCCTTGGAGAGCCCACACATCTCAAATACTTGTGTTTCATCTGAAAGTATAGGGGGAAATTAAACATCCTATTAGGAGCATTGTGGCCTAACAGTGGCACAAAAAAGAAACAAATAACATCACTAAACTCCCCTCAAAGATACTGTTATCTACATTTTTCTTTATTTAAAAAATGTGAAAATAACTACCATGCAACTACTCTTAACGTAATGAAAATGAATCAAGTGAATAGGTGGCAGCCAGCATTGACATGTGTTCCCACATCTCCAAGCAAAAAATAAAGAAATAAAATGCAGCACTACGTTAGAAAACTTTAAACATATGATTGCATATTAGTAGAGATGAGCGAATCGAACATGGCGAAGTGGAATTCGTTTCGAAGATTGGGAAAAATTCGATTCGCGACGAATCCGAAGATTAGCAAACTTCGGACGCACTAATCGAATTTTCCGAATCAGCAGCCAGCCAGCAGGGCCACAGAGACTTTAGGGCCACAGAATCGTTACTCAGGGACACAGAATCGTTACTTAGGGACACAGAATCGTTTACTCAGGGACACAGAATCGTTACTCAGGGACACAGAATCGTTACTCAGGGACACAGAATCGTTACTCAGGGACAGACACAGAATCGTTACTCAGGGACACAGAATCGTTACTCAGGGACACAGAATCGTTACTCAGGACACAGAATCGTTACTCAGGGACACAGAATCGTTACTCAGGGACATCATTACTGAGGGACACAGAATCGTTACTCAGGGACACAATCGTTACTCAGGGACACAGAATCGTTACTCAGGACAGACACAGAATCGTTACTCAGGGACACAGAATCGTTACTCAGGGACACAGAATCGTTACTCAGGGACACAGAATCGTTACTCAGGGACACAGAATCGTTACTCGGGGACACAGAATCGTTACTGAGGGACACAGAATCGTTACTCAGGGACACAGAATCGTTACTCAGGGACACAGAATCGTTACTCAGGGACACAGAATCGTTACTCAGGGACACAGAATCGTTCCGTTATTTTTGGGTGTGCTTATTGTATTAAAGATTATGTCAGACAACACGCAGAGGAGTGGCAGAGGAGGCAATGTTTCAGGAGCGAGCAGACGTGGCAGCAGAGGAAGGGGTCGAGGCAGCACTAGTCGCAGCCAGAGGCCAGTGCTCCCGGTGTCATCCAGCGGTCGTGTCTCCACCGACAACCCTGCCGTCATCGATTGGTTGGCTCGGTCGTCTTCCTCTTCCCAGGTCACCTCTGACACCTACAGCCAACGGTCGGTGGGTACGTCAGACACAACCGTTAGTTGGCATGGCCCGGGAGCAAGCCCACTGAAATCACGTGTCCTCTACCTGCCCCTGTCCTTTGGTGTTTCCCTCACCAAGCGAAGTATCGCATGCTGTGGGCTCAGCCCCACTGTACAGTGAGGAAGAGCTAACAGAGGGCGGTCAGGAACGGGGGGAGACATCTGCCTCTTCAGCAGCCAGGCGAAGAAGTACTGGCGAGGAGAGTGGCTCGGTAGCCGGTCTAGAGACAGGTCTGTCTCCTGACCCACACGCAGCCGAGGGGGCTAGTAGTGAGGCGGAGACCCTAATTGATGATGAGGAGGCTGATCGCACTTGGCAGCCTCGTCTTCATCAGGCTATTGCTTCCGCATCATCAGGAGAAGAGGGTGCCAGCTTGGCAGCGAGCAAAACAGTCGGTGGGTTGCCCAGGAGGCAGCAGGGTCGCAGCAGTGTCAGTGGAGGCAAAACGGCCGCGGAGTAGAGCACCAGCTCCACTGCAAGCCTACCACCACGGCCAGTAGTGGTGCCGGTGTGCACGGAGGAAGTAGCAGTCAGCCAGTGAGGAGTAGCGGGGGCAAAGTTTCCTACTCGGCGGTGTGGCAATTTTTCGTCAAGCCGCCCGAGGAAGTAAACGTAGCCGTATGTCGACTATGTGGCCAGAAAGTCAAAGCGTGGCCAGGGGGCCCATGTTGGGACTACAGCGTTGCGTCAGCATATGCAGCGTCGCCATTCGGTGACCTGGGAAAACCGTGATAAAGATACGGCGGTTCTGCCTGCCCCAGCCCCCGCTCCATCACCCGCTCCGTTACTTGCTCCGTCACACCCGACGTCAATCGCCCTCTATCAGCCAGTCAAGGCTCCAACACCTCTGCTGAGGGGAGTTGTCGCTCGTTGGCATCTTCCCGCTCGTTCAGATGCTCCTTCTCCTGCTACTCCTCTTCACGGATTCCGTCAGCAGTCTTTCTTGGAATCCGTTTCCAAGAGACAACAGTTTGCGAGCACGCACCCGACGGTGCAGAAGCTGAACGTCCTCCTGTCCAAGTTGCTGGTGCTGCAGTCCCTCCCTTCCCAAGTGGTGGACTCAGCACCTTTCCGAGAAATGATGGCTTGTGCCGCGCCGCGGTGGAGAGTGCCAAGCCGGCATTTCTTCGCCAAAAAGGCAGTGCCAGCCCTGCATTCACATGTAGAAGAGATGGTGGGCCAGTCTTTGAGCATGTCGGTCTCTGCCAAAGTGCACGGCAGTGCCGACGTGTGGGAGCTGTAACTACGGTCAGGGACAGTACATGTCATTTACGGCCCACTGGGTGAACGTGGTGCCGGCACAGCCGCACCAGCAACTTGGACAGGTCACGCCGCTTTTGCCTCCACGTTTGCACGTCCTTGGTCCAGCAAAGATGTCCGCCTCTACCACCTCTTCTTCCGCCGTGTCCTCAGCCGCCACCCGCGTGCCAAGTCCCATTACCCGACCGGCATATCACATGTGCAGGGCGCAACGGTGTCACGCTGTGCTGCACCTAGTATGCCTTGGCGAACGTAGTCACACAGGGGAGGAACTTCTGAGTGTAATGAACAGAGAAATCGACAGATGGCTGTCTCCGCGCAAACTGAAAATCGGAACCATGTTGACCGACAACGGAAAGAACATGGTGTCTGCTCTGCGTCAAGGAAGGTTGTGCCATGCGCCATGCATGGCTCACGTGTTCAATCTGGTTGTCAAGCGGTTCCTAAAATCCACCATCCCACTGCAAGACATCCTTAAAATGTCACGTAAACTTTGCATGCATTTCAGCCATTCCTACACCGCAAAGCACACCCTCCTTGAGCTGCAGCGGCAGAACGGAATTCCACAGCATCTCCTGATCTGCGACGTTGCAACAAGGTGGAATTCAACCCTACATATGTTAGACCGCCTTTACGAACAGCGAAAGGCCATCACCGATTTCCTGATGTTACAAGCGGATAAAAGTACTCCCCTGTGTAACTTAGATGTCAGCCATTGGCAGCTCATGCGTGACACCTGCCACTTGCTCAGGCCCTTTGAGGAGGCCACGCTATTCGTGAGTCGGCAGGACTATGGGATGAACGACGTCATTCCTCTGTTGCACGTCCTGGAACAAATGCTGTTAACAATGGCTGGTCAGGGTGCGGTAGACGTGGCGCACAGATCTCAACGCCACATGACCCCTGTGGGGGCAGGACAGGAAGAAGAGGAGGAGGTAGAGGAGGACATTGGTGCTCAGGAATTATTGAGTGAAATGGGTGGTTTTTTCCACTCAGCGGACAGGAGTGGAGGAGCAGGAGCATCTGGTAGAGGAGGAGACAGAGGACCCAGACGCACCGTGGCAGTATGCTGTGGAGATGGAGGCAGGGAGTCCCTCGCATTCCTTTGGCACAAATGGCCCATAGCATGCTCGGTTGCTTGCGTAGCGACAGCCGAATAATAACCATCAGACAGAGGGATGACTTTTGGCTGTCCACCTTGTTGGAACCCTCCGCTACCGTTCAAAAATGGTGGCCTTTTTCACACCTGCTGAGAGGGAGGCTAAAATAACGTACTATAAAAACCACTATGTAGTCAGTTGGTCTCTGCCTTTCTGCTGCGCCAACGTCCATCCTCAGACACTGTGGGCCCTGTGCGCTCAAGACGCGTTCCGCTGCCATGGCAGCAGGGGAGGGGTGGGGTGGTAGGAGCAGTGGCAGCTCCACCAGCAGCGGCTGCCTCAGTCTGCAGTCGATGATGAGTAGCTTTCTTCACCAGCGCAGTGAGGAAACTATACTAACCAGCCGCAGCAGCAGCAGCAGCATCAGGTGGACCTGGAGCAGGACCTCAAACAACAGGCTTGGGCCTACTTGGACAGCACCCTGCCAACCGAGGTAGACAATCCCCTTGACTACTGGGCAACGAAACTTGACCTTTGGCCCCAACTAGCTGAATTTGCCCTTGAAAGGCTGTCATGCCCGGCCAGTAGCGTGGCATCGGAGCGCGTGTTTAGTGCGGCAGGAGGTAATTGTAACTCCGCGGAGGACACACGACTGTCCACCCAAAGTGTGGAGAGACTCACGTTTGTGAAAATGAATCAGGCGTGGATTAGTCTGGATTTCAAACCACCAGTTCCTGACACAACTGACTAAATCCGCCATGAATCATGCCCCAAACATGTTATTAATTTTTAACATAGGCCTCTGTATGGCCTTCAATTTAAGCTGCTTAACGCTTCGCCACTCTGCCATGGGCCCCTGTACCGCCTCCTCATGCTGCTGCCAGGCCCGTAATCTGTCATGGGCCCCTGTACCGCCCTCCTCATGCTGCTGCCAGGTCCAGAGTGTGTCATGGGTCCTTGTACGGGCCTCCCATTGCTGCTGTCTCCATCGCCACACCTCTGCCATGTGCCACTTTCAGGTCTCCTCACACTGCTGGTGGGTTCCATTTTGTCATAGGGTGCTGGCAGATTACGGGCCTCCCATTGCTGCTGCCAGGCCCGTAATCTGCCATGGGCCCCCGTACGACTCCTCATGCTGCTGCCAGGTCCAGAGTGTGTCATGTGTCCCTGTACGCGCCTCCCATTGCTGCTGTCTCCATCGCCACACTCTGCCATGTGCCACTTTTCAGGTCTCCTCACACTGCTGGTGGGTTCCATTTTGTCATAGGGTGCTGGAAGATTACGGGCCTGCC